GTTTGCACTACTCGCCTGCGGCTCGTAGTGTAATCATCCGAGTGTAAAAAGCACCATCTTCCTTTTTACACATTTTATCAGCTTAAACAGTAAGAAAATAAATAAAAATAATGTCAGGGATTCCGGGTTCACTGAAACTCGACAAAAATTGAATTACAACAATCTCAAATTATTCCTACGCTCTATTTATATAGTCGAAATTGCACTCAGGATTTAGCTAGAAAAACATCAAATCGAATATAATAGAATTCTAGGAAAAAGCGCACTGCCCGACGTGAACAAGTGACTAATTTAATTTCTTAGAATCCCGACGCCGCGCCGCGATGTCAATACTTTTTCGTAATCAATACCTATTATTCTAGTATTTTGATGAAAATGGAAGCGAAGAGAGCGGGTTACCAGTGCAATGTTGGCGATGTTGCTTATTACATCACCGGGTTGATAAATAATTTTTAACATTTCTCATAAATAATATTCTGGATACCGTTCGATTTTTTCTCTATGATTTCTATTTTGATTTATTTTCTCAATTTACCGCCTCTTAAATTTTTCCGCCGTGTGCAGTTAGCACCTCTGCACCCCCCTAAGGCCGGCGCTGGTGCCGGATTTCTGGAATTCTCAAAATAAATTAATGGTGCTTTAATTAGGTACAAAAAACACACAAAAAATACCTGTATTTCATATTAGGTATTTGTCAGAGTCAATACAATAAAGAAGTTGTCAAAAATGTTTCACTACAATTTAACTTACAACCAAAATGTACCTACTTACTTTGAGTTGTCAGCTATCAAGTTTTCCTCAGGAAATCTAAGTTCATTCCTACACAACAACCCTTCTCCTGTCAGCATTTCCACGAAAAATAGCTATTTGCTTACTTCGAAACGCTTCGTTATATACATACGTATAACAAATATTTCTTAAACGAAAGGCCATACTTAAAAAAAAAAACAATTTCTTTATTATATTGACTCTGACAAATACCTAATATGAAATACAGGTATTTTTTGTAATTAAAGCACGATTTATTTATTTTGAGAATTCCATGATTCCGGCCCTGTATCTCCGAAACTAATCATGGGATCTTTTTGGGCCTACGAGAATTTACGTTCCGGAGGTCGAGAAGTATAATAAAATATTTCAATTTGATGACAATCTTGAAATTTATTTTTTCTAATATGATCCGTACGTGGCCCTTGATAAAAACAAAGGAGTGAATTGAGTACAGAAATATGTGAGTTCATTATCATTCTATGGAATTGAAAACAACAGTCCTTCTCATGCAAAATAACTTTTTTAACGTTATTATTCAGTTTAGCGATCTATATTTGACGCTCCCTCATCAGGGTAATAGGCAAGAAGATGAAAAATAAACGAAACCACCAAAGCTGTAATAATAAATACTGGAAGACTATAAGGACAAGAAATAGGAAATAAACAAGATCAGGGGCTATTTAGAACTGACACGCCGGGGTGTGGGTGTGATTTATCGATGTGCTGAGTGGTGCCTTTATTGGTACGTTAAAACTGGAGTAGGTATCTAATTAAATACTTCAACAAGGTGTTGATATGTTTCGATTCCAGATTTCTTTAAGAAAAAATAAAAACAATGCAGATTATAAATTTACGTTTACATGTAAAACTGATAAATTTCAGATTCAAAATCATTCAATTAGTTCAACAAAAGTTGTTTTAAATATTTTTTTTGTTGAAGGATAACAGATATACCTACATGATTTCCAGAAGCACGTACAATTGCAGTAAATATATGGCAGACCATTGGAAGGAGTTAGGCAGGTAATTAAAAAGATAACCTATATACAAGGAAATCACATTAAAATAAAAACTAATTGTCAAAAAACAATCAAAATATAATTTTGTGTCGATTCCACGGTTGGTTTCTTAAGGTCCCTGAAACATGATAATTACCTAATATTATTTATATACAATTTGTGTATCGATTCGGCTTCAATTTGGTGGAAAATTATACTTATCAAAGGTTTTTGTCAAGTTGACATAACTTTACAAAAACTTTTTCATTTCTACATAATAATACTGCAACATTTTCAAGCAAACAAGACTCACTGCGGCTTCTGCTTGCTCTATGCTCGGGTGATTTAAACTATGACTTCACAACAATAACACGCCCGCTAGATGGTGCGTAAAATTCAATCAGAGATCAACTTCATGAAGATATCATGCAAGGCAATTAGTTATTGACGTTAAATTACCTAAGAGGCTTCGCCTGATTTTTATGGCGTGTTCCATTTGCCGAACCAGTGCAAAAAAAATGTATCCTTATCCCTACATGTTACATGCTTTTAGAAAAAGATGCGGATACACTCAGTGCGCACTGACTGACAAATGAAAATCGCTATTAGAATAGGCGATTTTAAGATGTTTTAATCTAATTTTGTGTGGGTGAGTCCGAAATAAGTGCGCATTTTGTTTTGGTAGGTACAGTATAGTAGAACATGCATTTTTTTGCACAGGTACATGACGTGTCTGCAAACGTCTCGTTAAGAAAATACCAGTGTTGAAATTTTCGGAAAATTTTTACTTTTTGCCTTTAGATTCAAAATGCCTTGAGCGATTTTGATCAAATTTTAAGAAAGTGTCTGCGATGTTCTAGAGCATCTTTCTAAAAAATTCGTTCGAGTTCTACTTTTCCGGGACTGGACCTAGAGCGACTCTTATTTTTTTTAAAAGAAAAAAGTGGTACCTACGCCCTAAGGTATCACGAGCTATTCTTGTTGTTCGATGCGACGTTAACAAGATAGAAAATAAAAATCAGTGTATTGTTTGGAAAATTTTCTTCTATTGAAACTAAGAAAATGGTAAATCAATTAATTTCATAATAAATGACCAAAAAGCTGTCCGTTTACCTCATAGTGCACAATTGTGTTCTACGTACCTACTAGTTATTGCTAGTGTTGAACAGCATTTGAGGATTATCTCTAAATCATCCTGCAGCGACGGCTATTCGCTGGCGGTTAAATCTTCTAAACTTTTAACTGGCGCTGATAAATTAAAGCTTTCATATGACGAGAATCGCTCAAGTCTGGTCCAGGAGGAGTGGAATCAAACGGATTTTTTTAGAAAAATGCTTGAGAATATCGCAAACACTCTTTGAAAATTTGGACAAAATCGCTCAACATTTGGAATCTAAAGGCAAAAAGTCAAAATTTTCCGAAAATTTCAACACTCTGTATTTTAATTGGGTAACGGCCTAATTAAGGACCGATTGAGAAGTATTTTCTCTCTTCCGGACCATCCGTGGACGCGTTTCGCTGTATTACCTACCTACAACAGCTCATTAGCACGGTTAGGTCCGGCAAAGAGAAAACAAAACCCATTTTTGGTTTGGTCCCTAGGTTTGAGACAAGTAGGATGAAGACAGAGTCTCCATCTATTTTCGGGTCGGCCTGTGTATTTTCTTAACGAGACGTTTGCGGACACTTGTAGGTAGGTACCTAATACCTATATGCAAAAAGTGATTGTCCTACTGTACTCTATCTATCATAACAAAATGCACACTTAGATACCACGTTATAGGGAAATCTGAGGATTCGAGAATTGATAGGTCTAAGTCGGGGTTGCCCAAAAGGGCCACTTTAATGATGTCTTCCCGACCAGTTTTACCCAAAAAGGCTTCTATAAAAATTTGAGTAAGAAATACACAGCGTAATAGGGCCACCTTAAAATGCATATAGTTAGGTATAGGTAGCTGTTTAATTCATTTGAATTATTTCAAAGGAGTTGAAAAAAAAAAAACTATAAGTTACAGAAGTGTTAGCAACTATATTTTTTCTACGAGCGTACTAAAGGTGATGTTACGAAACATGTAATTTAAATAAATTATCAGCAGCAGATATACAAAATATATTTGGTGGTACTGTTGGGCGGTCATAAAATTTTAACCTTTTAGGAAAAACATTTGGCAGGTCAAATGTGGCCTTATATGACTGATTGACTGATGAATAATTACTTGTCGTATAGATGAATTATTGTACGACACACGTGCGATAACCATCACTGTTACCTAAAACAATCGCGGCTAATGCGCTGGTTTTACAAAAATTTGTCTCTGACATCTTAAATAGTGGTTTTTTTTTTCATCTTACTGGTATCTTTAATAAAATAGCTATCTATCGAACTTGTTCCTTCAAATGGTCAGATATACCTACTTGATTCACTTGTTGAATGGCCTATCAAAAACCTGTGTTTCCGAGAATGCGTAAGAAGGGCTTTATTTTTATATATACGAAGAAAAAAATAATATGGCCACAGCCTCTGGAGGTAGGTAATAATTATTGAAAACTGTTATTCGTTCCAAGAATACACTAAGTATTGAGTTAACTAGTAAACACATTATCTTAGATTTGCCGTATGGCAGACTATATGAGAAACTTATCACACCAAAAGGCAAAAATAAAAAATGGGTAAGCAGAAAATGAGTAGTTTCTTGAGGGAAGCTAGGTGCGTTGCTCAATAATAAAACATAAATGAGAGACCTTATATCATAAAACATTATAATTTATCGAGTTTTATATAGGTAGGTAGGTACTCATACCTCTACCTTATATCTACTATTGAAATAGTCTTCAGTTTCAAATTCGATGATTTAAAAATATAATTAATTATCTAATGTTTATTTTAAGTTGAAGTTTTAGAAATAAGATTAGAATTGTATTTATTAAACAGATACTACGATATAACCCATTTTCAGGATAAGTAGCAGATCTGAGTTATTTTATGAGACGCACTTAGTAGATATTTTTATCTATTAAAGACATTTGTTCCAAATCGTTTTAAATAGTATGCGGGTAGATGGTTGGTACTATTTCTACCTCTAATCTGTCATGATGTTCATTTTTAGTTTAAAGTACATATTTTATTTTGTAGACATAGGTAATAATAAAGGTATCTGCCTTACTTATGTATAATAAGGTAGGTACTTCTATACAAGGACAAGCAATTAGAAAATATTATGATATTCCTACCTGTTTCACTTCCATCAAAATCCGCTGAATCCCTAGATGACTCTAGCGGCTTCCAGCAACAAATTCCGTCGCTAAACATCCCTTGTCTTCCCGTAAACTTATTCGGATCTAAAATGTTCTCCACTGAAAACGCTAACCGTCTCTGTGGATGAGACACCACTACCGACGGACTCGGGTCTCTGATAGGACTTCTACTTCTACTCATATCACTACAAACACTTTCTGCTCGTTTAAGTTCTTCTTTAAAACTGCTAAAGTCACTGTGTGAGTCACTTTTATTGCAAAACTGAAATTTTTCTCTACGCGTTAAGTCTACTGGACACAATAAACTTTCATCGTTTTCGACGTCCACGTTTAAATCTTCGTCATCTTCCTCGCACATCTCCATATCTCTAGAATCCTCCGAGATCCTCTTTTGTTGAAGATAGATATCCTTTTCAGAAAGCACCAACTCCTGAGGCTTGTGAGCGGGCGACACTAAACGTTCCATCATGAGCATAGTCATTTTGTAAACACTAGGGCATAGTAGTCAAATTACTGGTGTTGACTCTGTTATTAGGGCCTAATACACTTACTAAACTTCGCCGGAAGCAGCAACATACAGAATGGATGCTGCCTCTCCGCGTAGTAGGATGGACTATCCACTCATTGGTCGTCTAAACGTCAGAGATTGGTGGCACAATCCGGTAATGGGCGTGGTCTGGAAAAGAACCCCAGGCTTTATTTGCTTTGTAATTATGAATATGATTTGTAATAACAGAAGGAGTCGCTGGAAATTAGTCGGTCGCACAAAGGCACTTATACGCCGCGGCATGATGAAACAATTTAAATTTAGTAGCGGTGAAAATGTTATGGTCAGCGCTTAATTGGGGCCCGATTGTGTGTTGTTATTTCGGCAGTATGGGCGGCTTATCACCGCTCGCTTCGCTATAAATGGAACAAAGCGTTAATGCTCCTCTAATTTTCTGATTATTATTATTTTATGTTGAAGGTGCCGCGACGGAAACGAGTAGATAATAAAGGAATATTCAGGCGAGATGAACGGTTTTAGTTTTAGGTTATAAGGAGATATAGACTCGTTGTTTAGGTATCTTGTTTTCCTATTGTTATCATATAATTCTCCAAACTTAAACGTTATTTTCAAAACTGAATAGGAAGAACACCAATTGTAATTTGATGTGAGCTGTCTGTGAAAGCAATATGTTTACCTTATTCTTATTAGCATAAGCCACACTGAGAAAAAAAACTCGTAGCCATTACTAAAAAATTAATTATGGCAGCAAAAAATCTTAATAAAATAGGGGACAGCTAGTCAAATTTGTTGCGACAACTAAAAATTATCTACTAGAAAGCATAGTCGTCCCAAATAAATACATTTAGTTAATTGGTCGAGTAAGTATCTTATTGCTGCAACTAAGTAGAATTAGTTGCAGTTAGTAACTAGTTTTATTCATCACAACTAAAAAGTTCAGTTACAACCAACTAGACTTTAGTTTTGGCTAAAAATAACTTAGTTGTCATTGCAAATATTATTATTGTAATGAAAAACATAATTAGTTGTGGCTAAAAACAACTTAGTTGCCGTTGCAAACAAATGTTGTTGTATTGAAAAACTTATTTAGTTGTGGCTAAAAATAACTTACTTAGTTACCATTACAAATCGCTTTTGTTAGAATTAAAAAATTGGGTTAGTTGAAAAACAACCTAAATACCTGCAGTATATAGATCTCGAAAAGACTGATTACAAAATAATTTTAAATTTATAGTATGAAAATATTTTACAGGTGCATAAAGCACTTCAACTTTAACTAAGTATAATTTAAAATTATTTTTAATCATAGTCCTTTTGAGATTTATATACTGAGGTATTTATGTTGTTTTTCAACTAACTCTTTTTCTTAATTCAAACAAAAGCTATTTCAATGGACAATTTTGTCTTTTTTGTTAACTCTATACCTACTATAAATTTTCATGTACCTATTTTGTTTTTCTAACTGCTGGGTAGAATACTAGGTATAATATAACTTATTGGGAATTAAGACAGTATGAACAAATGGACAGTTTTGAAAAAAAATTATTCGAAAAAAATTTACATTTGTAATCTGTCATTATCTGATACGGTCTAGTAGTTAAGGCATCACGTGTTAAACTATTGCTAGATCACATCTCAAATCACCAACAAAAAAATTAACTTTTCTATGGTCCTAGAAAAATTAACAACCTTGGCAATGTAGGTTACCAAAAATAAATAAATAGGTATTCTTCAAAAGTAAATTCTTATGGAAACAACTTAAGAAAATACAACAAACTTATATTTCTACCAAGCTTCCTACTTTCAAAGTCAAGATAAAAAATAATACACAATGCATACGGAAGTAAGGTATACCTATAGGTAATATCTAATAGGTTTATTGGTGTAGGTACTTATATACTGTCTCTTTTACTTTAGGTTTCTGAATTTGTATGCACATAAAAACACTTTTTTCTGTTGAATTATGCATACTAACACCAGAATGATCCATTATGCATATGGCTTAAGAGCTGCGAAAGCCGTAAATCTGCCTCAAATGACGTATCCCAAGTAGCACATACATGTCCCTGCGACTACGTATTAACCAAATACAACGTCCCCAGAAGTGCAAATACAGTGCAGATTAGTGTCCGCCAATGATTTTTCGTTAAAATTACGTCGTGCCGTCGTCCTTAATATGTGGTCAAGAAATCGGACCTTTATCTAGCTCAATTTTGACGTAATAAATGAAAACTAGTTTTAACGTTGAATTGATAACGTCAATCCGTCGTCCTCTTGTATACTTGTGACCTCCGAAACGTTGGTTAAACGTCGTCCAATACGACCAATCATAAGGTAAGATAAAAATCGTAAAATGGACGTCATAATATTGTACCAAATTCAACTTCTGAGAAAAACGTCCGGCCAACGTTAACATTGGACACAGGTAAAATTTGGTGTAGCATTTCATACTTTTTGCGTCGTTCGTTAATAAACTGTCATCAGTCAAATGAAAACATAAACAAACAAAAGATATGGCGTTACTATAAAAAGTTTTTAACAATTTGAATAAGTATTTGCTTTTTTATTTTTGGAACATATGATATGGGACAAAACAGGAGATTCAAATACTCATCAACATATTACAGAACAAGAATTTTTTTTTATATGACGTATCCCAAAGTAGCACATACATGTCCCTGCGACTACGTATTAACCAAATACAACGTCCCCAGAAGTGCAAATACAGTGCAGATTAGTGTCCGCCAATGATTTTTCGTTAAAATTACGTCGTGCCGTCGTCCTTAATATGTGGTCAAGAAATCGGACCTTTATCTAGCTCAATTTTGACGTAATAAATGAAAACTAGTTTTAACGTTGAATTGCCCAACTAGCAAATATATTTTATAATTTTTAACTGTCCGCTGCTATTTTATTTTATAATTACTTTATTACTGCTCGTCGAACGCCATTTTGTTTTATTAAAATTGCAAGCGAGATAATTAAGCTTCTAAGAAGTATTCTGCTCTATAAGGTAGTCGTAAGAACGTTCTTGGATCAAAAATACAAAACAGTTTAATGACAAATTTTAATATTGTTTTATAAACGTTTACACAATAATTTTATATGACATTTTAGCTCACCGAACAAATCTGTTTTATATTAGATTTATATTGGTGTTATCTGATACTAGTTCATTCGTTTGCGAACATCTATAAAATTGTTTTATTAGCGCTATGTGAAACATTTATAAAATTAATTTACTAATATTTTCTTTCGGATATTATTGCTCTAAAGCATTTTGCACTCAGATGGAACCTTAAAAAAATTATTATATAATTATCATGAACTCTGTCATAATAAAAGCTATACCTATATAATAATTATAAAACAAAAAAATGTTTGTGAGGATACAAAAGCATTAAGGAATATATTTATAAAACGAATTAGTCATTCTTGCTTGCCATGCAATCGCCATTGTTTATTGTCAAAATATCAAGCCAAAAAATCTGACCAATAAAGAAACAATAATGCGACATACGTTTTCGTAATCAAAGCAATCTTTGATTTTTTTTTGAAGACCCGTTAGCTGCTAAGAAAATATATAGAGTGTTTTTTTTTGCAGTACGTCTCTGTTTACCTAAAATATACCCATAAATTAAATATTTTATAAAAATCTCTTAATAGAGCAAAAACATTTTATAAGAACTCCCAAGGTGGTAAAAGTATTTTATAACATGGAAGCCATATTTTGTGTTGTTTCAACTTCACTTTACGACGGCCATTTTTGAGTGTATAACAAAAAATCATTTTTGCAATGATAAAATGCCTTAAATAACTACTTTAGTATTTATATAATGGTATGAGATGGATCCTTTAAATTATTTTACCACAATCCAGGCCCAAAGAGGGAAAATTACAGATTAAATTTTTGACCTTTTCTGCTAAAACTCAATAATACCCAATATATATGAGGCGCTTGAAAATTTTGCTATATATATCCCATATATTATACCAAAAAATTTCCTTCGCAGTAAAATAATATCAACCATCAGATTGTAAATCGAATTTGTGTATGTCTGGTATTGGGTTTACATAATATCAGAACCAAATAATGCAATATGGCTGATGTTATTTACTCAAACGTATTTTATTTGTTTCAAAAGATGCAATGTGCTTGCCTTTTTGTTATCTTAAGGACCATTAAAAAATAAATTATTCTCAGAAGGTACAATTTAAGAACAAAAGCTTACTTTTATAGTGTTATAGTCAAAACAAAAAAGCTTCATTTGAGATAATGAAACAACTTCTATAAAACTGTTTTATTCTATCTCGATAAATAGATATTGTATAATTGTTGCAAACTATGTTTTATAGTAATTTTGTAAATGTTTAAACAATTATCCGGTGAAAGATGTGGAAGCCATAATAAAACATTGGTATAGAACAAAATTGCTGCACAAGAGTGCGCCCTTTTTGGTTTTATAAGCGTTGTATAAACGTTGTTCGAACGTTTATAGCGACATTGTTATTTTATAATAATAGTTCTGTAAACGTTGTTAGGCCATTTATAAAACATAAATTGTTAGTTGGGTGATAACGTCAATCCGTCGTCCTCTTGTATACTTGTGACCTCCGAAACGTTGGTTAAACGTCGTCCAATACGACCAATCATAAGGTAAGATAAAAATCGTAAAATGGACGTCATAATATTGTACCAAATTCAACTTCTGAGAAAAACGTCCGGCCAACGTTAACATTGGACACAGGTAAAATTTGGTGTAGCATTTCATACTTTTTGCGTCGTTCGTTAATAAACTGTCATCAGTCAAATGAAAACATAAACAAACAAAAGATATGGCGTTACTATAAAAAGTTTTTAACAATTTGAATAAGTATTTGCTTTTGTATTTTTGGAACATATGATATGGGACAAAACAGGAGATTCAAATACTCCATCAACATATTACAGAACAAGAATTTTTTTTTAGATTTAGTGAAAAGGGAGAAATATATTCCAAACATGAAGGAAATGGAGCAAGAAGGGAAATTGAAAGAGAACCCTGTAATTTCCATTTAGGAAATTAAAAAAGATTCAATAAATGTTGGGTTAAAAGGAAATATTTCAAGATTTTGAACAACATCAAAAATAAAACATTTACAGTTTCCTGAAAAATCTCAAATAAATCAGAGCGTTGAAGCACCTAAAGAACTGGTTACGATAGGTTACCATATGGAACCTATAGTCAATCTAGGTTTATATGTTTGTACTATTTTATAACTTATGGTCCTATGTTTATATAGATCAAGTCCATTTTCATAACGAAAACACGCATTAGGTTAGGATAAGGTGCAGATTATTAACTCGGCCATTTTGTATACCGCAAGGTCCTATCTAATCATCCGCCATTGCTGCATGTTTAATAAAAATAAAATACTTAATATCTGAAAAATCAATCCTTAATAAGGAAATTGTATCAAAATTATTTATTTTTGTGTAAATCGGACTTGCGCCCAAAGATGTTTTTGACCCATCGGAACTATATAAAAAATTATGTAAATTACAGTTTTTTTTTTTGGAAAAATATTAACAAAACAGGATCCCGTTTGTTTTGTGTGCATATCATAATTATATTTGACAGAAAAGTTGACTTCGTTTGAAATTTTTGTGGCTACAGGAGCTAAATATTTAGTTTCACGTATTTTATTGTTGACAAAGCCAGGCGCCATTATTATTTCATGTCCCCCAATATTCTTATAAGTAGGTACCTTTTCATTTTGTTTTTAATGTGATGAGTTGGGAAATGAAATAATACCAATAATAAACCAAAAGTGCGAATTTGGTGCAATATATTAAACCTGGAACGTCCTTTATTTGGTTTTATATTTGTTTTTAGGTTAGTCATGGTTTACGACGTTAAGTAAACGTTCAAATCTGGTTGTGCATACTGAGGTATAGGAGTTAAAATTTGGTAAAGCCTCGCGACCTGCGACGTAGTTACAACCATGAAATGATTCTCCATTTTGGTGAAAATAAGGGTTGTATAGTCGTCTATTTGACGTCGAGCCTTAACGTCAAGACATCAAGGATGACGTTGTTAGGACGTAAAAGCGCTGCTTGGGATATTATTATTGGTTACCTAACAATTCGAACTCACCCTCAAATAAATCGGAAAACGATTCCAATCCCCACTCTAGCAATAATACCTTGTACGTCACGTCCCCACCTGGCTAGGCAATAAAAAAGCATCTATCACAAAACACTCCGCACTAATTAATAGCCCACACAACGGACGGGAACCAGTCACCAGACACCCGATGATCACGCATAAAAAATAATAATTACTTATTTATTTATAGGTAATATTTTCTTGCTCTTGCTAGTTAGTTAATATTTTCTTGCTCTTGCTAGTTAGTAGCTATCGTCGTCGATTTTCGTCAACATTCACGTGGGACGTCGTACGGTGACTTGTGAGTTGTGCTTGATGAATATTGGAACTGAATTCGGAAAGAAATGCTCGACCGAATGAATCGAGGTTACCCGAAAACAAGATTTAACTAACATTTTAGTAAAAGCTAAACAAAAAATTGTTGTGGGTAATAATAATCTTTTTTACAGTACAAGTAATTTTAGTTATCATAACTCAATACTTGAAGTTATTAAACCCAGAAGGGACCTCTGTTGTCCCAGCAAAGAATTTTAGTAAAGCTACATAAACAACAAATGTTTCCAATTGCTACTAATAAGAGTATATTAATCACAACTATTGAGGAAAAAATAGAAAAATTTGCTGCAGTAAATAACCATGGTTTGTTACTAAAATTACATTTTCGATCATTTTTAATTACCAGAATTAAAAAAACAGTAACTAAACAGTTTAGTTGGCGGGATTTTCTCAGTGCAATAAATGGATATAGGTAGATAAACGTATACCTACCTACAGTGTGTTCTGCTTAAGCTTAGAACATTCCTATATTTTTTCTAAAAAAATCCCTAATAGTGTTGGAAATGCTGACTGGTTGCAGTGGTTGAGGCCTAATTAGGACACAAATCAAATACACATTACTTTACACAAAGAACTATCGCTTTAATTTTATACTCGGAGTACACATAAACAGGGACCAGTTGACAACCTTCAAATTATTGACAGACAAGACACTTCTTCTTTTTTAAGTGATACATCCAGCCTCAACTATATATTATATCAAGGATATGATATAAAATAGTTGTAATCACAACATTCTCCCTCAATATTAAAGGTAAAAATAATAAACCCAAAAATAAAAATTCATGTACAGATCAAAATAAACAAAATCACAAATATGTGGGTGCCTAATTATTATATTTACTTCATGTTTAACTTTTCACAGATAAACCTATGTTTTGTACTACCCAAAGATTTAGTTAACATGTATCTGTACCATATCAGCCGTTGGCATATATTTTAACTGAATTTCATGGTTTTTGATTTTATCTCGTATGCATGGGCGCCGCCTGCCAGCGGGACAAGGGGGGGGCAAGGCACGGGGGTCCTGTCCCCGTACATACGCCACCGGTGTAAATTTTCGCAAGTGTCAAGGTCATTTTCATGTAAGGTAATTCCGGGAGAGTTGCCCCACCTAACAAAAAAAATTGTAACCATGTAATATTGAAGGCTCTAACTGTGAAAAAAAAATTTTTGTACGATATTAAATGTAGAACACATAGAAAATGTTGTTTTGAGAAAATATGCAATAATTGCAGGATTATAATTGAAAAATCAAAATGGCGTTTTTGGCCATCTCTCCCTACGATACGGGTGAGACGCCCTACATCATCGGGTAAGATGCCCCGGCTGTAAAATAATACTAAAGTGGAGATAATATGTGTACAATATTTATTAACTCTCAAAAGAACAAACGAAAAGTTTTTTTCAAACTAAAATTTGGCCAAACGTTGTACAATAAAGGACAAAACAATAAAAAATCAAGTTCAAACATGGAAATTAGCCTAAAATAGTTTTTTTAGGTCTTTCTTCGCCTTCTCAGCCCTTTTTTCTTCTCTCCCACAAAGGTTACATTTATTGGCGTACAAGGAACAGGTCTCATGATACCATTTTTTGCATGCTATACACTCAAGCCAATCCACTGTCTCTGTGGTTTCGTAATAGTTTTCCAAACATTCAGCACATCTTTCCGATTTAGATTCACGACGAGATTTCTTTGTAATTGTCAATTTTTTTAGATATTCTGAAGAGGTCTTGTCGGTGGTTTTAATTTTCTTTGCTACTTTTGCTAATGGTTCATCATCTGAATTTTCGGAATTTTCAGAAATTTCAGTTTCATCAAGTGACTTCTGGTTTTTGCTTTGCTTCAATATTTTTTGGTTTAGGAGTTGCGCGGCTTGTTTTTTTCTTTTTTTTTTCAGTACGTTGAATGAATTGGAACGGGAGAAATTTCCTGCAGGAATTTACTAGGTGTTTCTTTAAATTTAATTTTTTCCGACTTAGATGCATGCTTGACATTAGGAGATCTTAGCTCTTTTGATGTTCCAGGAATCGGCGACCGCGGTTCGATATCATCTGATAGGGAATGAACAACCTTTTTAACCCTTGCAAAAGGTGCTACAGTGGTAGTTATAGGACCAAGCTGTCTTGATGGCCCCGCAGTTGGTTCATTAGGATCAAACTGGGCAGAATTTTCAGTGCTTGCAGAATATGCTACATCAGCAATTGCATAAAAATGTTCCGGAACGACATCGGGGACCAAAGGAAATATTCCCGTTGCTCTAAAACCAGAAAGAGCAGTTTCTACTGAGGCTGATTTTTCCCATGCCTTTCCAATCAGTTGACTTGCTTGAATGCGCTTTAGCTGTCGTCCTGGGTGATGTCTCATCCACTGTCGAGCTTCACGTTTTAGATTGTACTTAAGGGATTTAAAAAATGCCCTGTCAAGTGGCTGCAGTGCTTGAGTGGTGTGGCTGGGAAGGCAAATTAGATCAATATCATTTGCATCTGCAAATTCCAACATTTCCAAAGAATTAGTATGGGAAGCATGCCCATCTAAAACTAAAATGGTTCTTCCAGGCGGCTTACGAGGAGCAAAATGATCCCTTAGCCATTTGAAAAACAATTCGGCAGTAATGTACGAGGACTTAGGATTCATAAAAACTTTAGAACCCGAAGGTAGTCCGTCCTTAAATTCAGGTTTCTCTCGTTGTCCCTGGTGGTAGAAATCGTCCCTCCGCACTGCAGCAGGCAATAATGGACACATTTTCGCCTCTTTCGGCCGAAATTAAGGTATGTACATCCTTAGCTCCCTTTGTGGCGATTACCGTTCCAGCTTCGTTATTTACTTGGAAGCCGGTTTCGTCCATGTGAAATATGTTTTCCGGTCTAACAAACATGTTATTTTCTGTGTAACACTTATGAAGCAATTCAAAAAAATGTTTAGCTTCTTCTCGATTCATTCCCTGGCTTCGAGCAATGGATAATCCTTGCGACTGCCTGACACTTAGTTCTTTATTTCTTTTCAAAAATAGGGTTAACCAATCATAGCCGGCCAATCCCGTTTCACGATTAAACCTGTGGGTAATTTCCAGTTTTCCGCAAATTGAAAAGCCAATGCCCGAATCGTCTCTCTATCAGGAGCAAATCCGGCTTTCTCCAGTCTCTGAATATGTTTTACCAGTCTTTTTTCATTTTCTGTTCCCAAAACACCCTGGGGACCAAGAGGTAGATCAGGCCTATTTCCTTGAATTCTTCTTCTTCTCAGTGTTCGTGAAGGAATACCATATGCACGTGAAGCTTCATTAACTCCCATTTTGCCAGAAGTTAAACATCTTAGAGCTTCTTCTAGGTCTTCTTGTCGCCATTGCCTCCTTGGCTTGCCACCAAGTTTTCGTTTATATTGTGTGGGCATCCTATAAATAAATTGAAATAGAAAAAAGTACAAATACAAAATAATTTTGGGGACAGGTGCCCCAGGGCATCTATCCTTTCGTACGGTACAGATGCCCCACACTCAACGCTTTTTGGTAACACTGTTTCTAAGAATAGAGCAGGATTTCTTAAAGAACACGCAAGCTTATAGCCACCCTGTATAGTATATTAGGTTTATCTACATATTTATTTGCGAAATCGAAAACACGAATCCCGATAAGTAGCTTACAGGGTGCGCTAAAATCGATTATTAAAAGGCTTGTTTCATGATTTTTGAACCCACTTTACTGGGTCACCCTGTTTACTTAGAGATTTGGTGCAATGATGAAAAATGCTTATTTTTGCTAGTACTATAACATACCAAATTTTTAAAAAAATCGACCGGTCCCCGAAAACCCATAAGATGTGTGCGATGTCCTTTAAATGCAAAACTTGTGGCCCAAAATGTAAATGCTTTATGAAAATTTTAAAATGCATTAGACTGTGCTTGTGTGCAGAATATTGCAATTAATTTTAGGTGTAAATACGTAAGAGGTTACACTAGCTTTTCTGTGAAGACATTTTGAGTTGTTAAAATTGTTAAACAATTTACTTATACTTTATTTTTTTCCAAGATAGATTTAGACACTGTCAACTTTGAAACATAAACAATGCCGCTTATTGGTCGCAAGATGTCATTTGCACGAAATGCATTCTAAAACTGTATCTCCAACTAAAAAAAATATACTTTATTTACTTTTATTATCTTCGAATACGCTCCTGATTTTTTCAAAATATTATTTACCTGCATACAAATGCAATAAAATAAATAAATTAGTTTGAAAGGATATAACCAAAATAGTTATTTTTGTCATACGTTCCCAAAAACAGCTATTTTACCGACTCATTCAAGTCCGTAAAATGCTTCTTTTTAGATTTTTTTCTGGTTGCACCCTTATGATTTTAAAAATTAAGAAAATTTTGCAAATTTTAGCGTGCTAAAGAATTCTAAAAAGCGTATGACTAAAGAAAGTGTTTGTCACACGTACCTAAGCGAAGTTTTTCAGGACTCATCTGCTATTCCGGACTCGGCTGACGCCTCGTCCGGAAACAGCAATGATTCGTCCTGAAAAACTTCATTTTAGGTACTTGTGACAAAAATAACTAATTTTTAATCATTCCTCTTACTCCACTACTTTTTTGTACGCCACTGGTGGCTTTATTTTGAAAGATACGAAACAAAGTTATATATCTATCGATAGAGAAAACTTTATTCTTAATTTTTTGTATCTTCTATTTTTTTTTTGTTTTCAAGCGGTTTTAATGATATTGATCAATACGTGTATATGTGATTACCCCCACCACATTTTTGTTCACATGGGGCCTTACCTTGAAGACATAAACAAAAATAAGGTCATAGTCATTATGCAGAATTTTGTGCTCTATCGAATGGCATCAAAATGACGTTTCTATATTTTACCGTTTATGAGAAAAATAATAAAAACTAAAACAATCCGCTTATCAAGTTTGAAGGGGGTGGAGGGGGGGTCGGCATGACTTTTTGAGATGGGTCTGTTCAAAAATCTACTAATTCTGACATGTTCTTTCACTTGTGAAAAGGATTTGCTTTTACTCAAAAACCGAAGTATGAAACCCTCAAGTTACTAGGCTATTTTGAAATAAATGCTCCAAAAAAAATTATTTTGTTTTTCTCCGAACGGGCGGGGGGCGCTGCGTTTTTGTAGTACCGGGCGGCAAACTACCTTAAACCGGCACTGTCCACAGACGCGTTTCGACCTATCAGGTCTCGTCAGTATGGCTAGGAAAGCAAAGAAAACCAATCCAAGTTTAGTGCCTGTAGGCAAAATAGTGGATAATAGGAGAAAACTTGTTTTCCCTATTCTGGGTTTTCCCAACTATCTGATTTTTGGTCGGTCTATTAGATGGTCATCACTACATACAGCAAAAGTGCTATTTAGTGTTGAATACTAGTCTTAGATGGCGCCACGATCAAATTTCGCTCGGCGTACTAGTTCTATTTTGCCTACAGGCACTAAACTTGGATTGGTTTTCTTTGCCTTCCTAAGTTCCTAGCCATACTGACGAGTTCTGATAGGTCGAAACGCGTCTGTGGATGGAATAGCAGAGAAAATTAATCCAAAAATTTTCTCATCAGTGGATAATAGGAGAAAACTTGTTTTCCCTATTCTGGGTTTTCCCAAATATCTGATTTTTGGTCGGCCTATTAGATGGTCATCACTAAATACAGCAAAAGTGCTATTTTGTGTTGAATCCTAGTCTTAGATGGCACCACAATCAAATTTCGCTCGTCGTACTATTTTATAATAAATAAATATATTTTGATTTTGCTGGATAATTCAACTTTCTGAATCCAGGGGGGGGGCAAATGCCCGATTTGCCCCCCCCCCCCTGCCGGCGCCCATGCTCGTATGAAATGGTATTTGACATGTAGATATATGTTATTAGTATACGTTTATGGAATGTCTTTCTGATAATCTAATAGCACTTGGTTTTCTGATAATCTAATAGCACTTTGATTGTAGATGACCATAGGAAGTTCTTTAAATAGAAAAATACAATTTTTATTTGCATCAAAGATTTCACAACACAAATTGAATAACCCTGGTAAAGTGTTTATTTCCATTGACAATATAAATTTTTTGTGCACACTTTATTTGTTTATCTATATTTATTGTAAATGGAAATAGTCACTATACCAGGGTTATTCAAAATTCAATGGAAACCTGCTCTTAAAAGTGGTCCTTATTTCGTTTTGAGTAGTATATTTCAAATACATTGCCTCTTTGGTCGCCTCAGTTATACCAATATATTCAGCTTCAGTTGAACTTAAAGCCAAAGTTTTTTGTTTTTGACATTCCCAAGATATGGGTCCATTAGCCAAAGAAAAAATGAATCCATAGAACGACTTTCGATCCAGTATATCATTGGCCCAATCTGAGTCAACAAAGCCTGTTATGGAGGAATTTGATTCTTTGAATAATATCTATCTAGGACTTTATCTATGTATTGTTCTTGACTTAATTTCAGTTCATGCTTGGATCTATTTCTTTCAACTTTCATACCCAAGCAATATGAAATTGACCCTAAGTCCTTGATTTGAAAATTCCTATCCAATTCAATTTTCAACATTTCAACCACATCAGTATTGTTATGAAAAATAAAGAAATTATCGATATAAAGTGCCACAATGACCACTGAGACTTAAATATTTTTGAAAAATATGCAAGGTTCTATTTCAGATTGTTTAAAGCTCAAACCCAATAATACATCATGTGCTTTTTGATACCACAATCTTGACGATTGTTTGAGACCATATATGTCTTTTTTGACCAAAAAAACTTTATTTTCAGAGTCTGGTTCCTCAAAACCTTCTGGTTTGATATATATATATATATATATATATATATATATATATATATATATATATATATATATATATATATATATATCCTCATCTATGTCTCCATTCAGAAATGCAGTCTCTAACCCTCATCCAAATGTACCGTCTCAAGATCTAATTCAGCGGTCATTGCCAACAAAAGTCTTAGATTACTATAACGAATAACTGGAGAGTACGTTTCTGAATAGTCCAAATTTTTAAGGAAACCCTTTTGCAACCAGTCCTGTCTGTATGTTGCTATACCTATCTCCATTCTGGTCCCTTTTAATTTTAAATACTCATTTATTTTTAACAATATTTTTATTACTGGGTTTGTCGACTAATTGCCAAGCATTATTTTTTCTGAGCGCATTTAGCTCATTTTTAATGGCTGATTTCCATTCCTCTTTTCAGGCACGATAATGCTTCAGAAACAGTAGGTAATTGCTTCCAGATCATGAGATACAGCGAGCATAGCAAGATCTGGTTCATTGTCAAAATCATCATAATACATATTGTACTTTTTTGGCTTACATGAATCTTCTTTAAGATATCTTCTGTCCTTAGCACTTCCATTTTCACAAACACTCTCGACTTCTTCTACAATACCTACCACTGATACTACGAACTTCCTCAGCATCACTTTCATCTTCTACACGAGATTGAGAATCTGGAAAAGTCTCAGAAGATATTGAAGCAGCATCATTTGGGACCTCATTGGAGTCATTTTCTACCTCCATTGGAACAACAGCTTGCAATTGAACATCATTTTTTGTTAAATCCAACTTATCTTTTAGAATGACTACATCACGAGCAATCTTCAGACTATGATTATTGGGGTCCAGTAGCCTATATCCAAAAGCAGTATCAGAATATCCTACAAACAAATACTCTTTACTCTTTTCATCAAATTTTCTTCTCTTCGCATCAGGGATATGCACATAAGCTCTACATACAAACACTCTTAGATGACTCAAATCCACTTTAAATCCCGTCCATTTCTCCTCTGGTGTAGCACCATGTAATTGTTTAGTTGGAGAACGGTTTAAAAGATAAACAGCAGTGTTGGCTGCTTCTGCCCACATTTGTTTTGGTGATTTGGAGTCTGCCAGCATTGATCGAACTTTCTCCATAATGGAACGGTTGTACCTTTCAGCCACATCATTTTGCAATGGGCTGTACGGTATAGTGAGTTCATGTTTTATTCCCTTGTCTTTTAGGAATTTATTTAAACGATCATTGCAATACTCACCCCCGTTATCAGTTCTTAAAGCTTTGATTTTTCTTTCAGTCTGATTCATTCAAATTGGCAAAACTCTTTAGAAATCTCTTGGATTTCAAGAAATAACAGAATATTTTTCTGATATGTTCATGAATCAATGTGAATATGTATTTTGATCCACTCCAAGATTCAACCTCTAATGGACCTAAAATAACAGAATGTATCAAGTCAAGCTTACCTTTTGCTACTTTTTTGATGGGATTGTACGGAAATGGCTTCCTTGCTATTGTTTTCCCTCAATACAGCTCTGACAATATTCTGTATTTACATTATCTTTGTATGAAATACCAGTTGCAAGA